TTCAAATCTCATAGCTCAATCTCGCATGCAACTATTAGACACGCAGTCGTGAGAATAATCCACTTTTCCAGAAGTGTGTACGCCATTATGTAGTTCAATAATCGGATATCATCACTTCCTACGAGACCAATCGATCATTTTCTCCATTGTTCGCAGAAGACAACTAACGTTGGTGCTTGTTTCTCATTATGTAGAACTTGAATTAATAAACGTGGTAGATAGTATCAAGAATTTTTAATTATTTAACACGGTAATAATGAGCCGCAACTATTTTTATTAAATTCCTATCAAATGTTAATTACAATTGTTTAAAAAAATGCTTAAAAATAATATTTAAAAAATAATCGTTATTTAACTTGTAATTAATTTATATCAAGCATTAATGGAAACATTATTGTAATTAAGAGAGAAGACATCTTAAGGGATGATCTTAATCAAATTTATATGCATAAAATTTCATGTCATATATTTTAATACACTGAGAAAAAAAAGTTGCTGTTTCAAGAAAATATTAGTTGATTCAACTAAATGTAGCAGTCACGGACTGTCAAGAAAATATTTGTTAATTCAACTAAATATTTGTTAATTCAAACAAATAATATGTTTTAAATTACAAGATTTTGTTAATCTAAATATATAAATATTTGAACTAAATAATCATTACGAACTAAACGCATTTAGTCAAGTTAACAACTTTTTTTTTTCAGTGTATCAATGCTATAAAAAATTATTTTTACATTTGTAATATAATCGATGTGTATTCTCATTATAGAGATGTAAATCAGTAAAGTTGTATTGTTTGATTTATTTTACGTTCCATTCAAATTATAATTGGTGCAAAATTGATCGAAACGCGCAACTTAGACAATTAGTAGCTTAATGATAACCGAATAATCAGGTATGATAATTAGCGCAAATAATACGGCTATAAAAGATCAAGAGCGCATTTACGTGAAGATAACGAGTACTTATACGCAGCATTTAACGCACTTTATTCCACATTAAATGCAATCGGATAGCCGATCACTGTGATCACACAAATAACGTTCGTGGAAAGAACGCTAATGATTAAGTACGTGAAGCTTGTTTCTGTGCAATTTATTCACCTCGACGCGATATATACATTCCCAGGAGATTGCGTTTTAATAACCGACTTTTTTCTGTCGCAAAGATTAATTTCACTTTAACGATGTGGCATCTTCGATGCGACTCTTTCTACGAAAGGATTAGTTTTCCGCCGTTCGTGATAGACGCAAAATGATCGTTCTAGGCAAAATAACGTTTTCTTATCTATTAATCATACTTAAAGTTTTCCTTTTATGTGTTTACAAAACATCATCGTATCTTGTACCCTTTTTGTATACGGATACGTACACGCGTGTATTTAACATCAATCAATTTCACCTCAATCATTATTCTAATTAACTTGAGTGTCAAGAATTACTCTTGTTAGAAATTCTGTTTATATTTTCCCGAAACTTATAAAGTCCACTTTAAGGCCCGGTTGTTCCACCTTTTGTTAAATTTTACCTATTGGGTAAGTAACAAGATTATTTAATTACATGCGCAGATTGCCAGATTTATCCAACAGGTAAAATTTACCAAAAGATGCAGGAACAATCAGCCCTAAACCCTTTGGCCTACAACCACGAGTGAGACTCGTGGTAAGGAATTTGGTCCATAAACAATAAGTACGAGTCAGACTCCTTACCACGAGTCTCACTTACCAAATTCTTTATCACGAGTCTCACTCGTGGTTGTAGGCCAAAGGGTTAATGATCTATATTTTAAATTATTTTAAATTTAAAAATAAACTTTTATATTTATAATTTTTGATATGCCGTGTATTTTAATATACATTTATGTATATATTTTAATATATATTAAGAAAGTATTATATAAGGGCTACGAGCCACAATAAACAATTTATTAAATATCTGTTTATTTAAAGAAACGTTTCGATCTCTTCATCGGGTCATCATCAGTGTTAGTATTTAAAATCTAAATGGACTAACTTAGTTAGTCCATTCAGTATAATATATATTATTGTGTAACTCGAGAAGTGTAATTGCAGAAAGAATATGCACTCCGTTTGTCTCAAATCCAGTAAAATATAAGTTTCGTACACTGTTAAAAATGTCATGAAATTTAATATACTTTTAAGTTACACGATTTGAACTTAATTTCATGACATTACATTACATTTAATGTATTTATAACTGAAAAGTATATTTGTGTACATGTAACATACATGAAATTTAATGTATTTTTCATTAAAATTTATGAAATTTAATGTACTTTTTATAAAATTTTATGAAAAGTACATTAAATATTATAAATTTAATGTACACGTTCATTACATTTAAGTAACTACTGTAACTGAATTTTCAGTTAAATCATTCATTACTTTTAATTTCGTTCATAACCACCAGCTTCATTTACATGTAAAGGAATCTCGTGGTTACATTTTTAACAGTGTAGTTACAAAGCAATTATTTATTTTAAAATAAAACAATTGATACAGCAAAATGCGATTTCTAATTAAACTTTAAAAACGAAGAAACCAAAAGTATAGTATATGTGAGTCCATTTCTAGTCAAACTTTAAAATTGGAGAAATTAAAAATTAGAAATATTATATAATATTGAAAGTTCATTAGTGACACACAGATAAGAAACTTCTAGTTTCTTCAATTTTAAAGTTTGACTAGAAATGGACTCACATATACTATACTTTTGGTTTCTTCGTTTTTAAAGTTTAATCAAAAATCGCATTTTGCTGTATCAACTGTTTTATTTTAAAATAAATGGTTGCTTCGTAACTACGAAACTTATATTTTACTGGATTTGAGATGAACGGAGTGCATATTCTTTCTGCAATTTCAGTACTTCTCAAATTACACAATAATATATATATTTACTAAACGGACTAAGTGATCTGAAGAAATAATGTTACACATACATGCGGAATTTGAGGGTTGATGGCCTGGCTTGCGTAATTATATTTTGCGATTTATAGAATTTAAATACTAATATTGAATATTTAACACGTTATAGAAACACATAACGAGCAAGAGTTACTGAAAAAAACAAATTTTTGTATTTACATGAAGCATGATTTTATGGATTTTTTGTCATTAACTTTATATTTTTCTTCTGTTTTTTCACGTACAATTTAATACTATCATTCTTACTAGACGTATAATAAGATATTAGCTAATTACTTTCACGCTTTGTTAACGATCATTGTTCTGCGTCATGTCGTAATATTAAAAAAGACTACGATAATTCTCATCATCGCTGGATTACTGATTTTTTCTTTGTTTTTAATCTGTTAACATTTAGATTCATTTCAAACGCAAATGACCAATCAGTCGTTTTGACTTTTGAATATGTATTCACGGAGGAACTGCATGAGGCTTTGGAATGAAGATAAACGTTCTTAACAGCTTTCTATAGTTTAGTTATTTTAGTTATGATCTCTATTTTATAGTATGTGTGTTGTACCAGAGGTAATAATTTATTTTATATTGTATCTGAAGATGGTTCAAATGTAGAACCGAAACATGTTATACTTATAATTAGAATTACACAATTTATATTTCAAACGAACTTCTTTACTGGATAATTATAAACTTGAATGTGTTAATCACTTCTTAGTTAATTGATGATTACATACGACTCTTATTTGCCTTGTTTCCAATTATTACATTTTAATATTGAATATGTTTAATAATTTGGTTTACACAACTATGATGTACGATTTATAGATTTTAAATACTAACACTGATGATGACTCGATGAAGAGGTCGAAACGTTTGTTTAAATAAACGGATATTTAATAAATTGTTTATTGGCTCGTAGCTCTTATATAATACTTTATTTATTTGAATTTATTGACCCATATATATTATTAATTTTAATATATATTATTTTTAGCATAATTAATTTTATGTCATATTTTATATTCTAATTTTTAAATTAGTTCGATTACACGAAATATAAAATTAAAAATAAAATTTTATCCTAAATTCTATTGTCACAGATCACCTAAAACGAGTTAATTTAATATAACATTTTATTAAAAAATTTAAACAATTGATATATGATATTATTTCTAAAGCAATTATTTCCAAAACCAATTATAAAAGCTTGAAAAATATTTATGTTTAATATTTTTATATGTATTACATAGCGTTTTTAAGACACGTTAATCTTTCTCTCAAATGAAATCCAGCCGTATGATCTGAAAAATCGAGGGAGTAATTTAACGAATATCTTTACTTTTACTTCTATCGATAGTATTCTGCGTGGTCCACGATCGACACGGATTATCACACACGCTTTGATCAAGAAGTGAAGTGCTTAACAGGAGATGCATCTGGTAGGGGTAAAGGCATATAAGAGAACGAACGTCTGATTCGGTTTTATAGTAGAGCTAAGTCCCTTGTGTCGTGTCTTTATTTTTTTTTATATATTTGCAATATGGTAAGTATGGCCCCGCTATTTAAATGTTTCCACTTCAATAATTTAGTGGGATAATACCGCATATTATATAACCACCGCGGAAAAGAAATGCATAACTTCGCTGTTAAATAAGAAAAGAGTTTTGTAACAGTTACATATTGACTTTATTAAAAAAATCATAAATAAAAATATCGTGCAAAAACGGACTTACTTTCAGCGAAATATATAAAATGAATTTTTTTGGTATCAAAATAAAAAAATAGTTATCTCCGTGGTTGGTGATATGTAAATTGAAAAATATTTAGAGTAATATTTCGAAGTTTCGTTATATATTTCTAAAAAGCCGTAGCTTTGTCTCGGTATAGTAACATGTACCTGAAAATTCGTTTAATAAAAAAAAAACGAGAGAAATGTATATACGTGCATATAGTGATACACATGTTTGGAGGAGGGAGCAATCCGCCCCGCCGATGGCGGGACAACACATTCTATATAAGAGTGGTCCATGCCGGATGTTTGACCCAGAACTTCGCGTGCAGTGAAAGTGTGACCGGTGCAAATACGTTTTTACCGGAAACGATAATGGTGATTAAAATATAATTAGTCGCTAAGACGCGTCATCGTTGATCACTTCGTTATTAGATTAATTATTATTATTATGTATAATTTAGGGATTATTAATTTTTTTCTGTTACATTATTTTTTGTATATATACGAATTAAAAGTAGAACGATAAATTTGACAAGAAGACGATTTCTTAAGTAATTAATCTTGCGATTTTTAGTGAGTCATATTGAAGTTTATTGAGTTCAACTTTCAATATAATTTCATGTCATCACATTTTATCATCGTATTTTTTCTAATGGTATATTTTCCTTCCTTTGATATGCATCAAGAAAGCAATTAACTTTTTATTTACATGACACATGCCAATCATGCCATTTATATTTTAAACTTGAAAGGCATTTATCAATGTTATATTTGATAGAAGCTTATAGATTATGCACAATTGGATGGCGAATTTTATAAAAGAGAATAAAAGAGCAGAGTAGACGGATGATTGACAGTAATTTTAACTTTCTCTTTCAATTACAGAAAGTCTATTTAATATTGGGTCTGCTGGTAACAGCGACGTGTGCCGAGAAGAAAATTAATTTAGATGATATAGAAAGAGATACTTTGAAGGCGGAGGGTAAGACTAAGGCCGAGAGCATCCAGACTGATGAAACGAAATATATCGCCAAGCCCAATCAGCAGCAGTATCAAATACCAAGCCAATATAATACTTTGGGTCAACCCGAACTGTACGTCCCACCTCAGCGACTTGAAGACATAAAATATAGTGTAAGATATTAATTAAATATTGTAATATGCGAAATTTCAAATGTTTTTATTTCTTTTAATCACGTTCTTATATCAATATAAAAATGATTGATAATGATATTATTCATAAGATATATTTAACTTATATACAGGGTGTCTCAGGATTTCACGGACAAACTGCAGGACTTAATTCTATATGTGGAAATAAAACAAAATGTTTATAAAGTTTGGTAAATGCTTTATTACAAAGTTATTTTGAGACACCCTGTATAAGATAAACGATAATTGATAGAAGAAAAATAATAATATATTTAAATCTACCAACTATAAATGATGTGCCTTCGTTTATTAATTCTTTTATTTTCTTGTTTTATTATCGTTAGCAGGTGCCTGAAGAATACATTCAAGCCAATCAATATGCTGTACAAGAAGCACAATATAAACAGCCGAGCCAAATTCTGTCACAGCAAAATATTCCACCAATCCAATATTACGACGGATATCAACAGCAAGTGGAAATAGCTAAAGGCATTAATCCTATTGTCTTTGAATCGCAAAAATTAAATTACCAACCGGAAATAGTGGTAGGCAATCACATTCAAAGTGTTCAACAAAAAGCAGTCACAGAAAAATACACGAAAGCTATTAATAAAGGTAAACTCGACAAACATGAAATGTTTATAATATGCCGTTATTCTTCAAATTTATATTCAAGAATTTTTTAAATAATAATTTTATATAAATTTTTCACTCATATATCTAATTATGTTCAAAATTGCGAAATTATAAATTAATAACAGAATAAAAAATTATTACATTTAATTATATGGGGAAAAGACACAATAAGTAAATCTATTCTTTTTTTAAATTAAGAAAGAAAAAAGAATCTAAATTCGTTTAATAGACATAAAGTTTTTAAAATAACTGTTAAAAGAGAGAATATAAAATTTGATTACACTTTTTTATTTTGCAGAGCCTGCTTACATTGACGTTCCGGTGGCACAATTGCTTCCCTATTATCCTCATTTGGATGTTAATCCCTTAGTGAATCTAAAAGGTGCTGGACTGGCGCAACCTCCGTTACAGTTTGCTAACCACGCGGCCCAACAAATTTCCATACCCGTATATGCCCCTGTATATAATCAGAAACAATTGATCTCTTCCGTAAAACAACCTTATTCTACTGTCGAGCCAGTAACATTCACGACCAAGGTAAATTTAATTTGCGTAAATCTGTATTCAACTCTCCCAAGTAAATTATATTCTTGTGCAAATGGTTATGTAGCACTAATCGTGTCGCAATATTGTGATTTAATGCAATGTGAAAGAGAAACGGTAGGCTTTCTTCCTGCATAGCAAACAGTTTCGCGAATATTTTATCATTGATTTAAACCGACCGCAAGTCGGTTTTTTGCCAATCCTGTTTTACTCGTCACACAATCGTAAATATTTCAGGCGCCGAAAGAATCGACATATGCAAATCCAAGTCCACACAAGAAAAAGATCAACTCGGCCCCACTATTGACGACACCCCTGTACGTCCAACCCCAGCAATCCCTAGCTCAAGAAAAGCACCTATTACATACGCAAGCTTACATCACGCCTTCGCAACCGCAGTATGTGCACCAATTAGTGTACATGCAGCCCGGCATAATTTACAGCGATCCCACTGCCTCTTATAGCGATCTTTACGCTCGTCTACCAGCCTACATTCAGGATAACTATCTTCGTGCAAATCAGCAACAGCTGTATATCGCATCGACAATCGGCCACGAAGTGCCAAAGGAAGTCTTGCAGGAGCAGATTAGCCAGGACCTCCCGCAAAATTTTATCAAGGTTGGTGTAATTGTAACAGATAGAAATAAATTTTAGTGCTATGTTGATATTTCACTCAGCGTGATTTACAACTTACATGACTACGTTACATTGATCGGAAATCGTTTTGTAATGGAAATGACAGCTTTACATAACTCGTTTTACTCGCCGGAGGTATAATTAGTGATTTAAATTAGCCTCGTGTGTGTGTTAACAGAATGATATCGCTATCTAATTAGTATAGCTTAATTACCTTTTTTGTCATGCTGCTGTCTATGTTTTCTATTGACATATTAATTTTATTTTATCAGATAGAAATGCATATTTCCTATCAATAATTTAGTTTTTTTTAAATAAAATACTATATATTGATTTAAAAACGATTAAAAAAAAGTATATGTCGCATACTTTTAACAATTCTTTTCGTTTTAAGGTAAAAAAATAAAATATTTTTAAAAATAAAATTTTCTTCTGATTTTTTATTACAAATATACACTAAGAACAAAATTTTTATATTTATGACTGTAATTATGGTATAATTATGATTATTATTATTATAATATTAGTAATAATCAAGGATAAGAAGTAAGTTACGCCGTTATTTTTAATGTTACTTTTTATAATAACGATTTGGTAATGACATTGCAATTTTTTGACAATAATTATAATTAACTAAAAGCTAAAGTTGAGAAAGTCAGTTGTCAGTTTAAAAGGTAACTTGTCACCATTACGCGTTATTTATTGAAAAAAAAGTAACTCTCATTGCAACGAGTTAAAGTAGCAAGTAAAAGTAACGCATCGGCAAGTTACAAGTAATGAGTTACGTTTTTCAATAAATAATGCGTAATGATGACAAGTTATTTTTCAAAAGTAATATTCCTAACCTTAATTTTTAATTAGTCATCGTTATTATCATAAAAAATTGTAAAGTCATTATCAAATTGTTATTACAAAAAGAACAAATAAAAGTAACAGTGTCCAGTGAAAGTTCCCATCCCTGGTAATAATTATAATCATTTTAAATGCCAACTATATATTTTTATAAAACTATAAATATAATAATTATTATTATTAATATTATAGTAGTAATAACTATAAGTACGATATTATGTACTTATAGTCTCAAATATAAAAAATTTTTCTGTCAGTGTGTATTATATATTTACGACATCCTGCGGGATTACTTGCTTAGAGTTCTCTTCTAAAATCGTCTTATTCCACGCGACAACAATCGTAATTTTGTTTAATTTATTTTCGAACAGGGGCCTGATGAGCCCAAAACTCATTTCGTACCGCCGCAATTTCCTCCACATGACTTCAAAGCCGGTAGCACACAATTGGAGCCTATTCGAAACTCCTTCGAAGACGAGCAGACTTTGCCGGCGCAAGATCACTCTTTGCCCTCGGAGCCGAGGTCGCTACTTGACACTTACATTCCAAGCAAAGTCATTGCTGCACAGGATACCGCCAGGTATAGTAGCGTGAATAATAAGACGTACCAGAGAATGCCGTATCACTATAATTACCCGTCATAACCATTACAGGTACAAAGAAAGGCCGATAAAGCTGGAAGGGGGTTTTCTCCCGTCGAAAGTAAACTTTGCGCTTAAGAAGCGCAAGTCTGAATGATGATAATTGCCATAAGTGGCATGACGATTGACGAATGTCATACGTACGCAAGGGTCAGTACAGTTTTTAAAACTCGATTATTAGCGATCATACGACGACCGAGGCATATGTGGATATCGAAAAGAAAATGTGACAGAGGTCGGCATCATCGCATCTAGTCTTTCATTGAAGATCACACAAAACCTTTTTATACTGTTCTCTTTTACGTTTGTAAAGATATGTCCAGTAAATGGCAAATACTTTGTTTACAATTTTCAATAAAATCTAAAATAGAAAACACAGCTGGTAACACCTTTCTTTTCTAACTTGTAAAATAAATTAAAAATGTAGGTGTATAGAATTTATTAATTATATAGGTAAATAATTAATTATGTAATTATTTTACATAATTACAATATAATTTCACAAAAAACTAATATTTTTTACTTGAGAGAAGTAATAATTATTTCTTGTACATTATCACCGTTTATCGCGCATAATCAAAGTTAAAAATTTGTATATATACAATTTTTAATAATAATATAATATATTTTTCTGATATTATTTACTTGTGAATAATATTCTTTTTAACATTTTATATAAAGTCTTATAAAGAATTATAAAAAAAAATTACGATATTCTTATATTTCGTTTCTCTATTTAATTTTTATACTTAATTCTTGCATTTAATATATTTCTATGTTTAATTTATTAATGCAAAGTTACATATCTAATAGAGCGATGTGCGAGAACCCGAATAGATCAGGTCGGATCGGAATCGGATCAGATTCCCAAAGTTTTCAGAAGTCCCGACGGAGTCGGGGATTCCCGAGAATGTTGACTTCTGTGAGAATCGGGATTCTCGAAAGAATCGAGATTCCCGATGAATTCAATATTCTTTAGCCTGCCGCTTTTTTCGAAAATTCGATTACCGTTCGTTTCGAGACTCGTTTTAATAAAAATTTTGTAATGTTTTTTGTAATTGTAACCGTTGAGCACAAATAATATAGAATTTGTCATTAAGTCTTTATTATTCGTAAAAGCGGCTCTAAGTAGTAATAGGGTTGTCGAAATTTTTTTCGGGAATATAAATTCTTTCGGGAGCCTCGACTTTATCCAGAATCTCAACTCCCTCGAGAATCCCGAACATTTTTGGAAATCTCGACTCTGTCGAAAATCCCGAACATTTTCGAGAATCCCGACACTTTCGAGAATCTCGAAATTTTCGAGATCCGACTCGACCGTTGTCTTTCCAACCCGTCCTGATCATCGGATTCCCGATATTTTCAGGTCCTCGCACACCTCTAATCTAAGAATTAATTAAGTCTGTTATCATAAAACGAATTCTAATGTAATTTTTTTTATATTTAATATCTTCTTTATTTTAATATAATTTCTTCCGTAAATATTATTTGTATTTTGTAACATAGAACTATAATCAAACAAACACGTAAGATTGTTAAATATATTATGGGATCTCTATAATATGAAACATAGCGTTTATAACATCAAAAAAGAATTTCAATATTAAGAAGGTAAATGATCAAATGATTAATTCGCGCAATAGAAGATCTGCCATTGGTAGACGACAAGGCCACGCTCTTGTCTTCTTTCTACTATTACGAAAGCAGTATATATTATTTATTACACGACATTATTACACAAGTTTTACTAATCTCCTCCATCAAGTACACGGACACAACAAAATTATTTATCGGTTATCAGCAATAAGCTCGTACAAGAGTAGCTGATTATATAAGTATTCTGTCTGTATACTGGTATTTATGATAGTTTATGTTGCGCATTCAGATAGACTGCGTTGACAGTCGAGAGGTAATGATGAAGGTACGTCTTATGTTAAGAAACCTACAAGTATATGCAAGTATTTATGCGAGTGCGATGTATCAACAGAGTCCACACGAGAAAGCTGTAAGAGATGAACTCAACGGTGTAGGCACGCAAACTTAACTTTGAAATTCTGACTGCTTTGTTATTAGTGTCGTCATGCGCTTTCTTTTTCTGTAAATGTATAATTTACTGGAATTTTCTGTTGATATATGGTTCATAATTTTATGGTTTAAATGAAAGTAAAAGCGGTTATGTGTACTTCGTGCATCACGCCTTCGAACTCATTATAATATTTTCTTAAGACCCCTGCAAGGTCAATAATACTGATCAATAATATTGAATCAGTAACACTAATAGTATGTATCAATATTTCTAGTATTTCTACAACCTTACACGAACAGTATTATTGACAATTAATTTCATTTTAGTTTTGATCCATGTCACAGTATATCACGTATAATATATCTATTTATTACACTGACATACTATTTATTATGCTGACATACACGGAGAGAACTTTTTCTTAGAATTTACCCTGAAAATATGACAGTTGTGGGACAACATTGTATTTCGAAGAATTTTAATATAAATCTCTCTCATTCATTAATAAAACTACAATAAAGTATAAAATAAGTTTGATCAATCTTACTAAAGTGCATGGTAAAAATCTTTAAAATATTGTATTGTACCACAATCACCATATTTTCAGGGTAAATTTTAAAAGAAAATTCTCTCCGTATACTGGATTCTAATAAAGCAATACTGATGCTCGAAAATCAAAATTCAAGTCAGTATTCTACGTCAATCCATCAATGTTAACCACACACGATCAATAATATTGTTAGTATTTGTTAATATTGACGGTATTATTGACCGCGTCACCTTTATGAGTAAAACGTGTTAAATAAATTTAATATAAATTATTATAAATTATATAAGTTTTTAAAAAATCGCTAAAATTCTATTTTACATGGAATTATGAATTTTAGATTCGCTTTTTACTATAGCAAACAATTTATAGCATCTAGTTCTCCGATATACATTCTTTATTCTAATATAGAAACTTCCCGGTTAGTCCATTTATAGAATGTTTATTTATGTAACGCAAAAAGAATAAAAAAGTTCGTATGATCGGTGTATCGATCTGTCAGACGTCGCTACGCTATTGGCAGGTGTCTTCCCATATCGCGAATAGCGTTCGTTTCACTGTGGTGAAACTATAATGATGGTGTCCTTCTCACACCAGGAGCGAGGGCATATAAGGTGGGATGTTCTGGCCTCAGCTTCATCAGTACCAAACATACACGACAAGTCCGCCAAGCTAGCAGGTTAAGGTCGGCCGTCATGAGTTTCGTTAGAATCTATGTAAGTACTTAAATCAAAATTGTTTTACATATTTAACGCTCTGTTCTCGTTTTCCTCTTTCATTTTATTAAGTAATGACATGGTTAATATTCATTATAAAATTTATTTTAATTAAAAAAAAATTTATTTTTAATTTTCTGTTAGCTATTTTTATCAATGCTATATTTGTTTATAGAGAAAGATATAATTGTTATATTATCTTCAATTTTATTGACATTTTAATATAAAAAAAGATATTAAGAAAAAATATATTAAGAAAAAATAATAAATTTTCATATTTTTCTATATTTGTAACTTTTATTTATTTATTTGTTTCTGTATAATTAAGACAAAAATAGATAATAACAATTTTTGCATGTATGATATTAATATTCTGCATTAATAATCTTAAATAACAACTTTATAATTTTAATAATAAAATGGCAATAATTGCGATAAATGTCACTGACACAGTTATACGTAATTGCGAAGCTAACAGTTGCGTGTTAACTCCAGTCACGAATAATATATTATCGGTAGGAATTGATTGCGCGTAAAATCTCGCGGTTACAACTGTTCCAATTTAATAATCCGACGGAAGCTTTAAAACAAAAAATCCGTGAAAAATATTTTAATGGAAACGCATCAATCGTGCCATTTTTCGGCGCGTCAGTTGCAAAAAATTTTCTTTTTTTTTTATGTGTGGTCGAATAAATGTTTCCTGGACTCGACCGGACGTAATTGCGGTGAAAGTGCCACAAATTTTTTTCTGATCACGGTCCATACGCGAAGAGGCGGTGATAAAGTAGCTACAGCAGATGCTCTTGAGTAAGCCAGTGAAAGTCAGCAAGAAGGATGAGCCACGCATCTCATCTGCACGCAACGCTTCTTTCAATTCGCGAACGCACTTTTTGACATTAGGTAACACTACGCGTTTCGCGCTGACGACGTAATGTGGACGTTCGGCGAGATCGGCGTGAAATTTGACATCTCTTCAATTGCGACACACCGCTCGCGTTTTTACATCTTTGTCACCACCAATTTCGAGTTGATTGACGAGCTGACGACCGACCGCGGTGACCACATTCGACACGCTGCACCCGTATCTATTTTCATCACGTGTCGCGTGCTGAATATTTATTGGGTTATTAATGTCAGAATTGTAATTTGAGAACAGTCGGCATGTTTAGTTCAGGAAAACAGAAAAAATCAGAGCGATTAAATTTAAATATATATCGCTACTTATAGACATACTTAATTTATATATGCTTTAAGGTATGCATAATTTCGCGAAAAGCATAAATATATAAATTATTCATTTTATTTGCAATGTTTGAATTTTACATTTAGTTGATTCCTAATTTGATATTCTTAATTTTTATATATTTTCTAAATTTGTAATATTAATTTTTTAATTTCTCTTATAAATTATTTTAATGTCGTCCTTATAAATATATAAGTTAAGTATATCTATCTAGATTTCATTAATATTAATTAATATTTTAATACAAATAATATTACAACAGATTAAATATTTTAACATAAATGATTAAATAATTTAATATCTATCCAGCTTTTAAGGTTATAATAAATTCTTTACGATTTTTTATTGCACAAATGGAAAGCAATATTTTCTGCTATCGTTATCTATATATTGCGACGTTTACCTAAAGAAAGCGGTGAAAATCGCAAGTGCGCAACGAATGAAACTCGTTATGGTATTGACCGACACACTTGACTCTGACCCTACAGGAATATCTTTCCATATCTTCAGCTCCGCTTTCCTCCTAGATGACAATTATGCGATCGTTATTTTTGTAATTACGTATCATAACCGGATTATTATTTCGACAATATCTTTATAAAACATAAAAATAATATCTAATTAATTACACATTCTTTTTTGAATGTATCTTATTACGGAGAAAATTCAATCCAGAATAATTTAACCGGTATTTCTTCGGTTCCAATCGTACATACTCGCTAAACAGAGAAGGGAAGTGAAAGTGAGATCTCCTTTGCCGGAGATCGATGACCAACACATTGTTACATCGCATCTGGTGCGATTTCTTACACATGCCCCTGACTTTCAGATCGCCACATTCCTATTGATACACGGGCTCTGCAATGCGGAGACTACCGGAAGCAGAGATATCAAGGTGAACGACTCCGACAGCATCGAACGTCCCATTACCGATGATGCTGCCGATGTTCCAGATGCCGAGAGAAGAAAGGAAGAGGAAGAGGAGCAAAGGGAAAATGTTGAGGAAATGCTGCCAATCTTACCGCCGATAATACTTCTAGACTTTGATAACGGTACTATCGAAGATAATGCGACCGATGAGAAGTCAAAACGCACCGTGAATAACGGCCTTGGGAATTACGGTTTCGACCGGAATTCCCTGCTTGCCCCACGAAAGTACAATTATTACTTTCCTGCGGGAAAGACCGGAACCACAGTGAGCATAGAAGAATCCATCAGCCCGTTTCTTCCGAGGACCATAATTGAAAAGATACCGCCGAGCAATCGGAAACCTATTTCTGGCTCAATTGATTTCGAACAACAGGGGTCCCGTGCTTCGACAGGATCGAACTATCAGTATTATAATTCCATGATAAAATCACCACAAGTATTTGGGCTACGAACGAAATTGACGAAGACATCCGATTCTGAAACTTATCAAGGATTCACGCCGATCGCCAGACCCTCCGTTGATGCGTACTCGAATGCAGACTTTCAGGACGGTGTATACACGTCTACAACGCCACAATCTTTGACGTTTGGTCCTGCAGAAGCAATAACGTCGAGTTACGTCACTCAAGATCCACGAAGTTATACAGCCTCCAGTTCAAGTCGATATACCTACGTCACTCCGAATCCGTCGTCGTACATCCAAAAATATCTGGGACAGAGTTCTCAGCACACAATAAACGTGCAGAGTTACTCCAGACCGAAGCAAGGTGCAACAAAATCCTCGACGTCCAATCCTCATGAGGCTGCTGCTTTCTCGGAACATCTAAATTCTCGTGATTACGCAAGACCAGGTTCGAACACGGTGGAATCATCGACTCCCGGGTCCAATGATGCGTCTAGCTACCCGGAGGACGCTAGACCGTTCCCCAATTTGTCCCGATATACGGTGGAAAACGGTGTCAGATACGAAAACAAGATATTCTGGAAATATCCAGACGGCAGAGTGTCCGACGAGCCGCCTAAGACGTACGAGACTTACTCCGAATATCCATCGTTGGCCGCATTACAGGCAGCTAAGGATCAGGACGCCTCGCAGGTCTACGTATCTGCCTCTACGGAGAGCAGCGTGATGTCACAGGGCCCAGTGCAGTTCCCGTTGGCGCCGGAATCCTCCGGTTCAAGAATCCCGTTCATCTCGGCTAATTCCCTGTCCCGTCTGCAGCAGCAGCAGCAAGCGTTTCGACTGGGCTATCAAAGTTTCATTAACCAGAAGCAGGCTGCTTTGCAGCAAGTCAAAGCTGGCAGCGGAGTTTCGCCCATATATTCAGTCCCCTCGACAACCCTGTCGCCGAGGAATCCTCTCAAGTCAACCGGGAAAAGTCCGAAGAATCGATACGAGACGTTGAGACCGATCTCGAAATACATGGTGAACAGTCCGAATCCGGAATACGTTAACAACGCGGAGAAGAGTGCGAAACCTACCAGACTTTTCACTTCATCAGGTGAGCTGATACTTTATACTTTATCAAGATACACTAGTAAAAAAATGATTGCATAATTTAACTATAATTTAAAATTTTCGCTAATTATTTTTAATTTGTTGGTAGAGCTGTGATAAATATTATTGTTACTGACATTATAGTAGTAATAACTGTAAAACTAGAGCTTCTAACCATTATTATTATACCATGCAATTATAGTAAAAAATATCAAAAACTTTTACTACACGACAGTGTATGTACATGTTGTGATCGTGCGATTACTTGAGAATTATTTTCCTAGCTGGCAGCAATTTGGCTAAAAAGAACACAGAAGACAAGAATCTGGACAGCTACTCGAATCTACAGTACTCGGATTTATTGAATTACAATCCGTCTATATCGCAGTATATCAAGAATCCTGCATCTATTCTCAATGTGCAACCAACCTTCGTGCAAGCCGGGAGCTCCTTGATACCCGTGATTATTCTAAGAGTGGACGGTGTGCCACCTATACAACGCAAGGCAACGCCAAACATGAACTTAAAAGCCTTGTTGCAACAATATCTCGTTCAATATGCCAAAAGTATTGAGGAATTAGCACAACAGTCCAATTACGATCTCGGTGACGATCAATCCCCGAAGGATCAAAGTTCGTTCTCCACCAGTCCTCTGCGCGAACTGGCGCGATTGACATCAAATGATCCTCGGGATTTGATCGGCAATCCTACAGAATCCTACTTCGGCAAGTCGAGTTACGAAACGAGCAATCTGGATGACGAAAAAAGTCCTTCAAGTGGAAAATATGGCGAGCGTACGGCGGCCCGGCCGAAAGTGAAAAGTGTGCAGATCATAGAAGATCCAATTGATCCAAGACTCGCAAATCATAGACTTTAGAACGAAATCACTTGTAAACAATAGACAGCGGATATATCCCTTGACTTTTGTGTTCTATAAATTCGGTTTTTCAAAATACATTCTGATGTAATGTAAAATATACTTATTGTCAGATCAATATATGTATTTCAAGATATGTTATAAAAAGGAATAAAAAATTCGGGGATTAAAAATCTCAACATAAATTCACAAAAACGAAAACTTGTAAGATGAAATGCACATTTTCATTCGAGTTTAATGAATATTGTGATAATATAGAATGTTACATATTGTAAGAAAAATAACCGATAATACAATAGAACACTAAAGTTAAGCTAAAATGATCGATTAATGCAGCATTAACTACTGGCGACAATGTAAAATACGGAATACGAAAGTTTTCATATGAAAAACTATTTTTTTTCCTTTGCATATTCTCTATTTTTAAGTATGAAATAATTACAATGTACATTATTTGGCACTTCACAGAGAATGAAATGTTTTGTGCCATGAACCGATTTAAGAAAACGAGATAATAATAATAATCGGGCGTTAGTGATACGATAGTATTTATAATGTGGGACTGTGCAATGTATTATAATACATACAAACGTACCTGCGCTACTGATTTGCTGAGAACACGCAAAGTTTGATACTAATAAATTTTTTTGCCGTTCTCAGGAAAGCAGTAGTAAGCAAAGCATATAACTTTTGCTTTGTGAAAGCACCTTTGAAAAATCTGCCAAACTTCCACACTTCAGAAAGGTACCTTATATATAAATCATAGTGCGTAAGTCTTTGTACGCGATTTAAGATAATCACAATTTGTATACTCTGCATTATTATAAGCTAATGAAATAAGCAAATAAGAAACCAATTTGTATATAAATTAGATTTGTATTATTTTTGCCTCAAATTTCTATGTAAATCAATTATTTCTAAAAGACAAATCTTTTCATTTTGTACTTTTTATCAAGATTTTTGGCAGTCACATTTTGTTTATTTCCTATAAAAATTAGTAGTTCTATAAAATTAGTAGCTCTATAAAATTTTATGGTTAACTTTACTAATAAGAATTTTTTTCTTTTAAATGTATGATAATATATTTGCTTAAATAAATATAGTTGCATGTGAAAGTCAATCAAAAGTAGAAAGCTATATAATAGTGGTTATATGTAAAAAAAAATTATCTATTGTACAAATTATTATGAAACTAATCGCTAGGACATAGTTTTCTACTTTGATTCATTTTTGATCATGATTTCAATATTCTTTGATTTTTTCCTTACTTAAAATATTTTAAATGACTTGAATACATTGTTACATTGTAAAGTTAAATAATAGTCCACAAAATATTAAAAAAACGAAATATATTTTTAAGAATTAATCAATGTTTAGTACATTATAGATTTTTTTGACATAAATTAAATCAATTTTAATTAAGATATTGTTCAACTGTTCGGCCAATTAACTATTAAAATCAAGAATTGCAATGGATAGACATGACAAGATTATTTTTTGATAAATCTTACACAAATAAATTCTGCTTTAATAAAATTTCATTTTGGTTATCTTGATTATAAAAATAAGCAATGTTAAAAATTAGGTAGTTGTAATAAAGTTCCTTGAACATTCCCCCCCCCCAACCCCCCAGAAGAATCTTTCTTTCACTTTTCCTATATCCATATTTATATTTATATATATATATTAATATTTATACATATTTATTTTTCCTATATTCCATAGACCACAGAAGCGATGATTAAAAAGCAGTTCTAGGATATCCTGTATATTACATTATATGAGCAACGGAAGTATCGTTTGATTACTGGAAAAAGCTGGTAAACATACATTAGAAGAGTATTTATTAACTTTTCCCACTAATTACATACAGCCTTGATTATAAGCACAAAGCACCCTCAATTTATTGTATTTTCTTGGAAAAGAAAACGGTAATAAGAGTTAAAGGATAACAAAATATTAAAATTTGTTTATTTTATTAGACATAGAACATCTACGTCAATTTTTATACTTATTGCAAAGGCCGTATAAGTGTATTATACGCATAAGTAAAGTAAAAGTTTTCGCTTTAGAATTGCTATCAATCTACACACATTAAGCGGCAATCAAGCGCTATTATGCGTTTACTCGGTATGGATAACGCGTAAATGCCGGTGCCATCCGAGAGAAATATAATAATCCAAAATTATTAATAAAAAAGGTACCGGCGCGCGAGTGTGTGGAAATACGCATCAATGTCGACCAGTGCCGTTGAACCTCAATTAACGTTAATTATCTGGCAGGCACGTAAAAAAAAAACTTAAGCCCGCTCTAGCTCCATTGTTAATTCCACGTTTTCACAACAGACAGGCTCCGACGATATATCTGCGTTGCATCTACGGCAATTGCGGCACGGCAATTAGGCGCGAGGCATTAAACTGCTGAACGTTCGAGCACGAGCGCGAAAGACTCCGCATGCAGGCAGGAGATCGGCTCGTGTTCATTACACACGGACGTGCACCTTCGTTTCCACGGCGCGCATCGGGAGGAGTAGGCGCATCAGGTATAACGCGTGTGTTCTAGAGCGCGTAAAATTACGGCGGAAAAAGTACTGGCGAGAGATACCTCGGATCCGATCCCGTCGATCAGAGACAACAAGAACCGCAGGAAGCTGTAAAGCGCCGGAAATGGTGTGCATTCGGATTGATGTTCCCAATGCGGTTTTCAATATAGATAAAACAATAATATTCTACAGAGAGACCTAGAATCTCTTCGAATCTCTCCTACTTATTTGTTTTATAATTGAGCCATCCTGTTGGTTATAAATAAATATTTTGCGATGCATTTAGAAAAATAGCTATCTCCTGTTCTTTTCATAACATTCCGCGATCAGTATCTCGGAACTTGAAATAAAACGATTTTTATTTCAATTGAGATCATTTTTTGTATACCGTGAGTATGCCCCCTCTCCATTTCCATATAATTGCGATCATTGTTGCTAGAATTCTACGTGATGGGATGACCACCACGTCCCATGATACGCCGGACAATATTTCTCCAGGCGCACTCGCGTGTTGCGAATGAAAGTATCTTCTGCGGCTGTGTGCTGTACAGGATAATATTTAGAACGATATTTTTCTCTTGGCTGCCGGACTGTATAAAGAAAATCGCGTATCTACTATGTGGCTCAGTTCTCGCGTGGAGGTTCACCACGCGCGTTTCTTGAGATTATTACGAGGCGAGGATACGGGAACGAATGATCGTTATCAATGTGAACGCGTAGTACAGTGTGGCATATGAATCTCCTTTTTGTTTAATGTTTCATCTCTGGAGGAATCTTAAAAATGATTTCAATGAAAATGATTTTTTATTATGTAAGTACTTGGATCTGAGTACTTTGTGAAAGTGCGAAGTTCATTTGTGCGATAAAAAACAAAATTTGTCGTTTGATTTTTGGTGTGAATAAAAACTTTTGGTGTAGAAATGAATTTGGTATATTAACTCTGATATAAATTAATAAGGCGGAATATTAAATGCAATGTAGCATTATTGTTTTCAATTTGAGTGATAGATTTTTCCCTATACATGGTATAGAACTTTTTTTAAGAAAATATTTATCTAATATAATATATTTCTCTCTCTCTCTCTCTCTCTCTCTCTCTCTCTCATCGTGATATATAGAGAAAAAGAGCATGTAAAAATATATCATCTTCTTTAATTTCTATCCTCGATTTCTTTCCTTTAAGCAATTTATTTTTTGTTATCAATGTTTGGAATTTTTTTTGTTATCAATTTTATATATTTTATAGATTTTTAATGACAAAGTTACATATATTAATATATTTTATAGATTTTTAATGACAAAGTTACATATATTAAAAAAATTTATAAAAAATAAATTACTATAAAAGGCACTTTGCATAAATAATATATACAACATGTATTCTTTTATGTACTTACTTTACATACTTTACATTTAACTAGTTAAATTATTTTTTATTTTATTATTGCATTATATTAATATATACATTTTTAATTGTATTCTGTTATAAAAATTTTTTTGTAAAATTTGTCGTATTAAATATGCAAGCTAAATATATTTTTCCAAATGATTTATATAAAAATTGCTATCTAAAGTTTGTACTAAATTAAAAACTATTAGAAGAATTACTTTTTTGTTGAGCATTTTTATTTTAATATACATATTGTTTAATATAATGACAAAAAATAAAATGTAAAATTTGCATTATAAAAATGTTATTAATCCACACATATCATTTTTAAATGCTTATGAAACCTAATCAAGAGACACACACAAAATTACTTCTAAATAAAGATGTGCATATTAATGACGTTATATTTCGATCGACAACTTCGACCGACTTGTTTAACGATAGGCATAAAGAATAGTTTAAATTGGCTCTGTTTTCTCCACAATTACTTTTCACCGACACTCTCTAAACGGATAAGCTATATGGTTAGCTGCTCGGATTTCTGCATTTTATAAAGAAAAGCCATTTATGTGATACAATTGCACTTCGAGCTTTGGAAATTCTTTTTTACCGTTCACAAAATTATTACATTAACGATGACACCAGTATGGGAGTCATTGTCAAATAATAACTCAAATGACCATGAATCAGTGAGAAAGTCCACAAAGATTTGCTTCCTTGCACATCCAGTCCTTATTTCCATTGCACACGCATTTTACTTTTCCAGTCTGCTTTTCTTTTCTAGGTCATCTCCTTGACGAAACAGCAATTAATACTGCTTACTATCATGAAGCGGCTATCCAAACTTTGCAATGCATATCTGCTTTCTTCTTTAGCAAGACTTATAATTAAAAATATGTATAAAATGTATCTTCCAGATCTCATACTTCTACAATAACTCGAGGTTCTTTTTATGTTTATCAGTTTAATTATATTATTACCAAGAAGAATAATTGTATTATCACCTAGGCGCTCTCTACTATGTATATTTATATATTATTACCAGTTTAATTATATTATAATTTTATCACGCATTTACGTCTTACAATAAA